GTAGAAAATACAATTTAAACATTAAAAAATCAGTACTTAGGAGTACTTAGGAATAAATCTAATGATCTATGTGCAAGTTCTCTTTAGAGAAATTATAAAACTTTATTGGGAGACATTAGGGAAGACAAATCAATGTAGAGATTAATTATATTCAGAGAAAGACTTGATACATAAGGATGCAAATTTTCCATAAGTTGATTAATAGATTTCATAAAATTTCAGGAAATTCAATAGAAATTTCAAGCAGGGTAGGTATGACTTGACAAGCTGGTTCTAAGATTTATATGGAAGTACAAACATCTAAGGATAGCAAATATACTCCTGAGTACAAAAGAACAGGTAGGTGACTTGTTCTGTCAGGTGTCAAGATTATTACAAAGATACAATTTGTAAGCTCAAGGGTGGTGTCTGTCTGAGGCAGACAGAGCTGACCAGTGAAACAAAATGGAAATCCAGAAACATCCATGTGTATGTGGAAACCTAATATATATTAGGTTTCCACATACACATACCTAATATATGATGCCTGTGTGCTTTTAGATCACTGGGGAAAGGATATCCTATCTAATAAAAGGTGCTGGGTCAACTGGTTACCCACAGAGAAAAAAAAATTGGATGCCTACTTCACAAAACTCAAAAGTCAACTTCAGCTGATTAAAGATCTACTTGTGAAAGGCAAACCTACAAAATGTTAAAGAGACTGTGAACTTGGGGTAGGAAGGGATTTCAAAATGTTCAAAAAATTGCTAACTTAGAACACATTAAAATAAGAACATATGTTTATGAAAAGTCACCATAAAGAAAGTGAAAGCAAGTATCAAACTGGGAGAAGCTATTTGTGCACAATAAACAGACAAAGGGTTAATATAAATTTTTACAAAGAATTTCTACAAATCAATAAGAAAAAGACAAAAAAATATGACTACATATTTGAATAGGTACTCCACAGAAAAGAACAAGGGAAATAGGCTAAGTCTTATTAGTAATCTGAGAAATGGGAATTGAAAGCACAGTGCCCTCTTGGTTAATGAAAATTAAAAATCTGAAAACCCTAGGCGAGGTTGTAGAGCGATGAAATCAACATTAATGGCTGCTTTGGAAAGCAATGGCATTACCTGGTAGAGTGGAAGCTGTGCATACTTTTGAACCAAATATTCCTAAATTAGGTACATATCCTAAGAATTATTGGTACAAAGTATACAAGGAGATATGGACAAGAGGGATTCTAGCAGCATTGTTGGTACAAAAAGAACTAGAAATAATGCAAACGTCTATTAACGATAGACTGGATGACTAAATGGTGGTATAGTCATAGAATAGCGTACTACACAGCAGAGAAAAGGAGTTATAGCTACTCACACCAGCGCTGATAGATCATAGAAACATAATGTTTGGTGAAAAAAGTCAGTTGCAGAGTAATTCATAAGCCATGATTCCATTTACATAAATTCTCCAAACGTTCAGAAGTAAACAATATATTGTTTAAAGATTCAAATGTGATAAACTCAAGAAGAAAAAGCAAAGGAATGATAAACAGAAAATTCAGGAAGGTGGTTATCTCTGGTTAGGGGCTGGGAAAGGGAGAAGGGTGCTATTAGGGAAGTATCCTCAAGGGCTTAAAAAAATTCTGATTGTTTTATTTTTTTAACCTTAATGAAGGGTACTCAGATGCTTATTATTTCATCATCCTTTGTGTGTTAACATGATAAAAATTCCTTTATATCAGCTCACTATTCAATAAAAACAATCCAAAGAATATTTGATAAAAACTCAGCCGTAATGTCCTTAGCCGATAAACTCTCCCTTCTTTAAATTCTGAATGAGTTACTGTTGCTGCTGTTTTATTTTGCCGCCTGCAATTTAGGGATTAAACTAAGCTCACCTAACAAAGAAATTTGCTCAGAGGTGAAAAAGTATTCCCTCATACTGCTCGGGTGTGGAATGGAGGATAAGGATAGAAATCAGGGTTTTGCATATACAGATGATCAGAACAAGGACTGCCTTTGAATTCAACGAATGAAAAAAATGCGGAATTGCCTTCAACTTCCCTTGAGCCCTAAGACATTTGGTTTCAGAATTTCCAGTGGACTTTTCCTTCCACTTGGTTGCTCTATCTGTCTGTAAGCTATTTCCTGATGTTCCAGCTTTTGAGGAATCCTAGGGAAGCCCATATCTTGACAAGCTTGGCTGTGGTCTGGCAAAGAGGTGGTGTGGAGTGGAGCTGAGGACTTCTGGCTGCCTGGCCTCTGGGATTGCTGTAGGAACCCAGCTGCAAAAGCCAGACCCACAGAGGCCAGTTTTGCAGAACAAGAAAGTGAAGGTGGAGCAATTACCAGCAGTTCTGGGCAGTGCTGCCAGACAATGGAGGTAATTTATTTCCAAGTAATTAACTTGAGGACCTTAATTATCTAGACTCATTATCAGCCATCATCACCTTCATTATCACCATGATCACTGCCACTAAGAGCATCTTAAGAGAGCAATAGATGCTGTTCCAAATCGCTTTTAGAATCTGAGTCCTATCCTACAAGAGTCTTGACTTAGGCAGTGGAGGTGAAGGTGTGGTCAAGGGAGAGGTACATACGAATGAACCAACGTCAAACTAAGGATACTGGCTTAGTAGCAGATTCTGTTGCTGTATCCATTGGCTGTTTTTCCATTTGTCTTTGACTTTCAAGGCTAAAACCAGGCAGATTGATTTCACAGGCCTTGGCATTTCTACCCTATAAATAAAGCTTGCTGAAAATTATTTCTTATAGTCAGTATTGTAATTATTTTAAATCTCATAGTTACTGGAATCATGATTTGAAAATAAAAAAAATGAAAGTAAGTAATTTAAGAGTTTCATATAATTTTAATGGTGTAGAATATGAAGCTAATTATTGGCTACCTTTAACTCCACAAACATTGCCCATATATCATATCCACATGTTTACTATCTCTCCTTTGATATGCAATTTTCAGCTGTAATTTAACAGTCTCTCCCCTGCAGGCTTGGACCTTGACTGATGCTCCAAGTTTCTCATGTTTGAAAGAGCCTATGTAAGCTATGGGTTTGATGCAGGGGAGAGAATACGACCTCGAGTTCAAATTCTGATTCCATCACTGGCTAGTTGTCAGACCCTGGGAAGTTATTTAAAATCTCTGCTCCTCAGCTTCCCCATCTGTAAAATGGACACAATAATCTCTATCTTATAAATTAAGAGAGCAGTTTATGTAAAACATGTAATATACAGTAATTTCTTCTTAGGTGTCAATCTTTTTGTAAAAAAGTTATATATATATATCAAAATATACTTAATTAAATTATTCAATGAGAATAAATAGAAGGTGAAATAAATCACACTTCACCTGCTCTGATGAAGTCTTCAAAACCTCAGACAGGCTAGCCACTGAAAGTCACAATATTGCTGTAGGGAAACAAAACCTCTGCCATTTTTCACCATCACACGTCGGTGGGCTTTTTTCTTTCATTTAGGAAATGAGATGACATGCAAAATATGGAATTTTCAAATGACACACCAAGTTTTAGTCTTACAGTAAAGATCTTGCTGAAAGAGGATTCACTTACTTGGCTTGAAAGCAAATGAAAAATAACTTGATTAAGCATTGAGAAAAAGCATGTGGAAACCTTGAGATGAACAAAGATAGGGAATTTTCAGTTGATCTTGTGTTGTGATGAGCACTAGGACTTTGTTCAAATGCTAGTTGCCTTCTGGGCTGTAATTTTACTTAAACATCATATCATTATTTTTCCCATAATTAAGATAGTATAACACATTACAAAGGACCTGGAAAATGGAGAACTGAAAAACATGTTTTTCCTTCCGGCTTTTTCCTATGTATATATATTTTTGTTGCTGCAATCATAGTTTGTATGTAATTTTTCAACTTGATTTTTCAGTTACTATTATGTCAAAGCATTTTTAAGTGCTAAGTGATATATTATATTCCATGATTTATTTAACAGATTTTCTATTATAAATACTAAAGTTGCTTCCAAGTTTTTTTTGCTGTAATATATAGTTACTGCAAAGAACAATTTTGGTTTCAGAATTTTTCAAAGGATTTTCTCTGTAGGGTAATACTTTAAAAGGAAAAATAAAAGTACCACTTCTCAAAACTGCATTCAAGTAAACCTCCCTCAGGTCCCTTCTTGTGTCCAGCACCATTTATCAAGCCTGGTTTCTATTGGATTCTGCAAAGTTGCAGTATGCTGGTATAGATAGTGGTGTTTTAAACTTCACCAAACCCAAGAAATAGTGTAAGGTCAATGAGAAAAGAGAGGGAAGGAGAAGAAAACAAATGGAGAAAAAACCGAATATTTAAAAATGGCCAGAGAATTTTATGAATAGATTTATTTCCTAAACCCAGGTGGGGGCGGGGGGCTGGACTGAGCTAATTGTCATTTTGTCTTTTATGAGCATTGCCTTTGCCTTTCAATCTTTCTTCTCAGTCCTGCATTCCTCCCTTACCCCAGACTATTCTTCTAAGGACTTTGAGGGCTCCATGGACTTGTCCATCCTCTTTTCATCCTCACATAGTTTCTGCTTTCCTTCCCTGCCGTATGTCCTTGAAACGCAACTTTCATCATTTTGGTTCAGTATTTACTGAGCATTTACTGTGTGCCGGGTGCAGTGGTGGGGGCTGGAAATTCAAAGGCGAGTAAACCACAAAGTCTGTGCTGGTCAAGAGGACGGTGGGAGGCTGTGAGTGAATGGGTATCTGAAAGCAGGACTGGAGCTAGCCAAGTGATGAGTGGGTGTGGATGTGCATGGGTGAAGGGCATTTCTGACAAGGAACAGCCCTTGCAAAACTGCACAGAGAGTGCAAGGGGAAAGGCCAAAGTTTCAGAAAGCCTACTCCCTCGGTGTAGAGCCCACCCCACGTTAACACTTGTGAAACACAAAGCTCAGTTGCCTCATGCTTTCCCACTGGCATGCTGTCTGGGTAGTCAGGTTAAATGATTCTGAAAAGCCCCCCGAATCCCTGTGATTTACCTTTTCTCATCGTGTCTGTAAGATGAAGAGGTCCGGCCACTGGTCCATATAAACATCTTAGAGGATGTTGGTCCAGGGGCTCCTTTCCTTATGGTGGAAGTCCTGGAGGAATGACGGAAAGACCTAGACGGGAACACACTGAAGTTAAATCCATTACCTTAAGTTTGGGAACTCTGTATCAACAGCAACCAATAGCTTTAGTGGACTGACTCTCTTAAATAAGGCCAGGTTTCTGTTGCTACAGAGCCGTGCTTCTCAACCCTGGCTGCACATTAAAATCAAGTTTTTCGAAAGGTTCCTCATTGCTTCTAATGCACTGCTAGGGTTGAGAGCCACCGCCATAGGGAAACATGGCTTTCTAATTGATGTTAGCATCCTATTCCTTCCCCACAAATCTAATTTTGGTATGGTTTCACACCCTGTAGTACACTGTATTTTTCCAAAATTTTGGTTCAGATTTAGATACTAAAATTCTATTTCTCCTTTCCTATTCAAACTGTTTTCCTTGATGCTGACAGGTGTGACATATTGGTGACGAAACATCATCTTTTAAATATGCTCTGCTGTTGCCAAAGCTGTGGGTTTGTTCCATGGTGGCCGAGTGTCTGAGGAAGTCACAGAAGCAGAAGACGAAGCAGATACTCTCTGGCTCCCGGAGGCTAAGTTTATAGGATCCAGAGTCAAGCTCTTGGAGGAATGTTGTGTTCTCTTGGTTAGGATTTGGCTTATGGGTTTAATTTTTTCATCTCCAAGCATAGCACTAAAAGTAGTTAGCTATTATAATTTATTTTCTACATAATAACCATTTTCTAGGGATTTAGAAATATGAAATATCATAGAAATTGTAATCACATCTGAAAGTTAAAATAATATTGAGCTAATAGAACAAAGGAAGGAAGGAAAGTATTTCTTCATGATTCACAATCACTTGTGGCTTTCCTTTTGGTTGAACACTATATTAACGGGAGGCATGAGACTAGAAATATTAGCTATTATATGATATATTAGCTACTACATGTCAGGCATTTTGCATATATTATTTATGCATATATCATGAGATGTATATGCATACATTTATGTTGTGCTGATATTATGCAAACTGCAAGGTGGATGGTGCTATTATTTCCAGATTATGAATGATGATTCCAGGAGATTGGGATATTTGCTCAGATTTAGAAAAAGTGAAGCCATGCTCCAAAACCAATGTCTGCCTGTTTCCAATTTTCATGCTCTCTGTAGAAAGATATATTATGGTCTTAGCCCAGTGATTCTCAAACTGTAACATGCATATGAATTACCTGGGGGATCTTATAGCAATGGGGATTCTGATTCAGTGGGGTCTGGGGTGGCCTGAGTTTCTGCATTTCTAACAGCTCTCAGGTGATGCTGATGTTGAAGGTCTGCAGAAAACACTGAGCAGCAAGGGCCAGAGCAATGGTCTTAGAGCGAGTAGTTGGCTAGAGGCCCAATTTTGTCACTACCTAGCTGTGTGGCCTTAAGAAAGTCACTTAACTTTACTAGGGCTTGGCTCTTTTTAATCTGTAACGTAGAAAGTGTGAAACAGAGAACCTTTACGATTGCTCTCAGCTCCAACATTTTGTGATTCAGTAAATGGTAGAATGAATCTAGGCATATTCAAGGCATTGTGTACTGCCTTTCTGGGGCTAGGTCTAGGAATAGATCTCCTTCTGCAACCCTGGGGTCAGCATCGGAGATAGACAGAACAGAGGCCAAGGGGATACAGGGGCTTGGTAACCCGTATAGATGCAAGAAGTCATCCTCCCATCCCTGGGCTCCTAGGATAAATGGTGGGAATTAAAGGATACACCTAAACAGATGCCCTCACCAGTTTTAGAAGGGCTTAGAAGTAGAATCTGCTAGCTCTTTAAATGACTTGGATCTGAGATATTTAGTTAGTTATGTTCCTTTTTGAAGATCTTTAAAACATATAAAATAAGATAGAGATTAAATCCATTATTAAAGCCAGTTAGCCTTCAGGAAATAAGAATGATTTGAATCTACGTTGAATGACCTACTCCATAAGAATGAGGATTGACTTAAACTTCCAGGAAGTTATTTCAACACTGACTCTGGCGGAATCTTCTGCTCACCTTAGTCACTCCTAAAGGACTAAGGATGTGGAGTAGACGGAAAAGTGACACAGTCTTGAGTTAAAGCAAAGCAATAAATTACTGAGGTCCTGCCTTGTTACTCGTTATTAACCAGCATTTCATAGACACACCATACATATTATAAATGCTTTGAAATCATTCCAAGGGAAAGGAGCTGCAATGATTTTAATATACTTAGGATACTTTCAGACTATGTGTCATTATTCTAGCGTGGCACCCTTGCTCTGTTGTTTTAAGACGATATGGAAAGGGGAAGATGAAAGATGTATTCAATCTAATTAACTGTCTAAAGCTTGTTGGAAAGGAGTTAATGACTCCTCGGGTTAGTCCAATAAGTTGATTTGGAGTTTCTCCAGCCCAGTTTTCCTTCATAAAGACAAACTATTATTTAAACCCTGCTAGGTTTGTTGTTAATTAAAATTAAAGGGAGTAGCTGCTTTAAGGACAACAATATAAAGGTTCTGTGGAAGTTGAAAAAATTTCCAGGCTTCAAAAAAACACCGAGGATATGTTAATGGAAGCTGGTTTGGAGGTTTTCTCAGCTCAAAGGCAGTCCTCCTGAACTGTTAAATAATTACGTCAACTCCGCTCACTTTCTAAGACAAGGAACATCTCATTTGAGTTGTGATTAGGAAAGTGATAAAGAGACAAAAAGACACTTTATACAACTTTGTAATTTGGAATCCTAGCATCAGCAGAGATCTGCGTTAGCGGAGACACGGGCTGTGGGCAGCGCGAGGCAGCCTGGATCCAATTCCATCATGAAGTGACCTAGGACTTGCAGTGAACCTGGCAGAGCCATGACCATATGACTGCAGACAAATGAAGTCCGAAAACCAGCAACCCTAAAAGATGCCATCTCAGCCTTGGATGAAAGCAGTTTATCCACGAGACTGTAACAATTTCTTTGGGTCAAGAAACTCTAAAGGGCCTCTTTCCATTGCTCAAGCACACCCCTCGTGGGTTTCTACTTCCTCGACTCAGTTTGCACCTTCTCGCTGCCTCCCTTCCCCACCTGGTGAATGAGAGCCTTTGTTTCCGGGGCTGGCTCAGATGTCACCTCTTCTGTGAAGCCTTTCTTTGACCCAGGTTGGCAGCTTCCTCCGCTCTGCTCTTCATTCTTGGTATTCAGCCTCTGTTAGAGCAAAGCATGCTCTACCCTGCTTGCACACAAATCTGCCTCTCCTGCTAGTCTGTGGGTAATGCAGGGCAGGGCTGCACCTTACGCACCTTTATGGCACAATGCAGTTCACACAATGCCACCCTGGTTATGTTTGCTGCCCGACCATCTCACTATCCATTTGAAAACATGATTGTCGATATGACTTTGGCCTCCTGCGTTGGGATCACTGCTCCTGGGTGCAGCTGTGGCTCCTTCCTGACCCTTCCCTAAGCTCCAGATGTCCTTCCCCGTTCTACTCCCACTTCCTCTTGCTCCTTCTCCTGACTCTCCTGCTCCCTCTGTCTTTTTTCAGTGACTTGGGCAGAAAGTTCTATTGCTCGCTGAATTATCATCCAGTAAGATTTTCTTTAGAAAGGCAGCATGGTCCCAGGAGAGCCAGATGGGGCCTATGCGTTTGTTTGCCTCCTGGCATCACCACCTCCCAACTATGTGACTTCAGACAAGTCAGTTGAACACCACTACGTCCTTGTTTCCTCAGCTGTAAAAATGGGAATGGTGACATTTGTTTTTCTGGGTTGGTTGGAGGATTGATGAAATAACAGATGCAAAATACCTAAAGTAGGATCAAGGCACATAGTAGGAACATACTAAACATCAATTTCTTTCTTTTTTCCTCTGTTATTAGTTTTGATGGCAAATGGACTGGATTTTTTTTATCTTTTTTTAAAAAAACCCAATTAACTTGTTTTGTACTTGTACATTGAGATTATTGATTTTTTTTTTTCCTATGGGTCAGTGGCACTCAATAGAGGAAAAACAGTTTTCTCAGATACTGAGATAATAAAATCTGAAGTACTTCCTCATTCACATTAAGTTCTGATACCTATCCTGAGCAAGAAGAGCAGAAAGAGAGCGTCCCTGAACCCTGGCCATACATTACAATCATCTGGGGAAATGTCTAAAAAATACTGGGTCTCCAGCCAGACCAGTAGAACCTTTGGGGTGGGGCCCTGGCATTGGAATTTTGAAAAAAGCTGTTCGGGGATTCTGCATTGTGGTTGCAGCCAGGGTGAGAAACAATTGTTACAAATGCTCAGGTTCTGATTTCATTTCAGCTGAATCCTTTATGGAGACTCCTCCTGTCTCTAGAAGCTTCAGCGGGGGAGTAACAGTTCTGAGTCCTACTCTGTGCAGTGGCTTCTCCACTGGTACCCATGTCGAGGCCTTGAGGTGACAGACACAAGGACAAGTGGCATATGAGGCAGGGAAAGAGCATGCGGATGCAGTTTTCTGGCGTCAGTGGCCTTGAGCTATGCATATGGGATGCTCTTAATGCACTCTGCTTTATTAAACAGCAAGCAGGAGCCAGCAGAACTATTTAACACATAATTACATGTCTAATCTTGCGTAAAATTGTAACACTAATGACATCACAGCAGCAACTTAAAAGGTCACTCTGAGCACAGAAATTTAGGAATGCTTCTAATCTGTGACACTTTATCTTTGCAGACGGCAAATTATATGTTCTCCATAGGAACTGAGTTGTTTCGTCTTCAGGGCCTTTGGAGGGAGAAGCCAAATGTATGGTGATAATTTTAGACCTAGTGATTGAATTTAGAAAACACTGGTCCATCTTAAGAGCAGTTTTAAATGTCTTAGGGATGTTTTTTTCTCAAAATAAACTAGTATGTCTTGTTTTAATTCATTTGGGTGTCCATTTAATGGCATTTCTTAAGTGTCTTGTAGGTGCCAGGCACTGTACTGAGTGATGGGGGCACCAAGCCACCGTTTATCTGCTTCTAAGGAGTGCACCATCTATGGAGGAGTCAGGATAATAAATCAACATTCACTCTACCACAACTGCTCTT